GAGAAAATCAAAAGAATATATAAATATAATCAATAAACGAAGGTAATATTTATATATTCTTTTGATTTTCTCTCTTTTTTTCGAAAACAGATGGCTTACCTTCGTTTATTGATTATTGACCATTCAAAAGTAGATAAGTTTTGTTTTACAACCGCTTTTTCGTTACAGAAAAGCTCAAGCCTTGGAAACTTGAACTGGCCCTTACTGCGCGTAGTAAGGGCAGGACAGGACGACCGCACGTCCAAAAACAGCAACTTGTGAGCAGAATTTGACTCGTAAACGTTTTGTGACCTGTACTATAGTACATCCTGTCCTGCCTGCGGCTCGCACCTCCTCGTCCTGCGGGGCGGACAGGACAGGACGAAAATTGAAATGTTATCCTGCAGGACAGGACAGGACGACCGCACGTCTTGTCCTGTGCTCATCTCTGCGTACAATGTAATCGACTACGGAGAATCCAAATATGCAGTCCGTTTGGAAGGAACTTGTTTCTAAATTTACTCTCTCAGTTAATATGATAGGAACAGCAGATTTTCATTTTTTTCATTTTCCACTAGCAAAGAAATAAAGGATAGAAAACTAAAATTGTTTTTATGCATTAACTCAAAAGACTTATCAAAATTTGTCCACTTTTGTTGAATATATCTCATGATTTTATTCGGTTCTGTTCTATTCAATCATGCGATATTTTCTTTCTTTTCCTTTTCTACCGTCTGGTGCGATCTTAGTTGTTTCATAGTCAAGTTCATGGAAATATCATACAATATCTCTCTCTCTTTCCCAGGTCGACTCTCACGGCAAAGTCGCGACGTGAGTCACGAAAAAAAGTCATGGCGTGAACGCGTAACGCGATCGATATTGGACTCACGAAAAATGTCACGATTTTCGCGATCACTATAAACTCACGGTGAAAAGGGATTTTTCCAATCCACTCGTAAAACTCACGCTGTTGCTGTGTGAGTCCCATGTTTTTCCCAATATTTGGACGTGAGTCCTTATTCTCGTGGTGTGACTCACGAAGTCGCGTCGTGAGTCCCGTGTTTTATCAAAAATTCAGCGCGACTAGCTGTTGTCGCGACATGACTCCAGCTGTCGCGACGTGACTAAGCAGAGACTCACGATTTTTCTTCAGCAAGACTCCTATCGTGCCTTTTACTTACTCGCGCTTGTTTTTTTCTCCTGTTCCTTGAAGTGCTTATTTGATTTGGAGTTTTCCTGTCTGAACAGGGCTTGTAAATAGGGTTTTTATTTATTTTTCACGTTTTTTGAATGAAAAGAATTTTTTAGGAGTTGTTTTTAGAGGTTTCTCTTTTCTCAAACTCATAATTCAGTTGCTCAACTCCGGTTCGACACAAAAGGTTCAAGTTTCCAAGTCGAGTTTAAAATACCAAAGTCATTCAAACATGGATTGAATGTGTACTGGAAAAACTAACAAAGCACAACATATCAGCGTACATATACTCTTACGTTGAGAATTTGATTGAACATTTTCAATTTTTCAACGATAGATTATTAACATTATTAATGTTAATTAATGCACTCCAACTTACAGCTATATTTTTGGCTATCTAGTCGCTACTTTAACAGCACTAAATTTTGAATACATATGTATAACTACCTTATGATCGCTAAATTATTCATTTATCACTGATATATCGAATTGCATCATGGATTCGCTGCTCTTCTATTAAACTTTTCATATAATCGACAAAACAGACCACTATTCTTTGGTAATATTTCATCAAATAGTCTTAACATTTTTTTAATAATATTATATTATTTAATCTCTTTATTATAACGTACTATTTCGATTGTTTAAAATATATATAAGAAAAACATGAGAGAAGCTGATTGAGGTTTAACAGACAATAACGTTGCTTCTATATATCTACCATCTATCCAATATCTCAAAGCCGGTGTTTTTTCTTTCTTATTTATTTTATTGCGTTTATTCTCGCTTCCTTGTATCTTTAAACACGTTGTGATTCTCGCTAAATTGCTTTCTCTTTACTTTGTCGTGAAAGCAGGCAACAGGCCCAGTCACGTACTGCAATAAATCATCAACGTTACTTCTATCAATGATCGAAACATCATCTGAAGCAATGAAATTTTGAAATTCCTTTAACCTGAAATAGGACAATAAGCTGACATAACTCATTTTAACTGAACGTCAACGAGAAATTAATTTTTCGTATAAAAAATAGCATAAATGGCGAGACAAAGTGAAAAAGATTGCTATGCTTCCTGGATTACAGCGAATATCTTTTTCTCTATAATATATTTAGAAAAAGTGACTAATACAAAAAAACAATAGGAAACTCATGAGAAAACATTTTTATTCACCGTTCAAAAGAAATCACTTGGAAAACCAGATCCATAATCAGATATGTATAAAAAAAAAGAGACATGTGAATGAAAGTCAACATGCAAATAATAAAGAAATGCAACGTTTGACATGAGATTCGCATTTGTCGGTATACAACAATAAAAACACAAAACATAAGAGATTAAATGTTTCCAGACATATATAAAATGAGAAAAAGCATTATTTTTCGGTACATGAAAATCGATAGTTTACAGTGGCAGACGACTGAATAACATTGTTTAAACAATTTCAATTGCCCATTTGCTCGGTTTCCGTCCAAACTAATAATAAAAGTAAAAGCATATCGTTAAAAAAAGCCACCAACATTATAAGTAAATCTTCATCTCTCGTAGTCTTGCTACATAAATATTCCACAATTATAGCATTCTCCTACCTGAATATCGGTTAATTCGTTAAGAAATCTTGTGGTCAATGGAGCTCCATTTTTCATTGTTGGGATGTTTAAATTTTTTCCTTCGTAGACAATGCGCTCTATTGGGCAAACGATACATGCTGTTCCTGCTCCAAACATCTCTAAAACCTAAAAACGACAACAACATGCAGTGAGATATAATTATAGCTATAATGACTACATACTCTATTTTGATCATAGGCTTCGACCAATTCATGCATGGACATTTCGCGTTCGGATACAACAAGTTCGCTCTGGAATAATAAATTATGCAAGATAAAATATTAGCTCATAACTAATACTCACCCATGTTCGAGCTAAATCAAGAACACTTTGTCGAGTAACACCGGGCAATATTAAACCGTTGAGCGGAGCTGTAACAAGCTCTTTTTCTAGAAATCAAATAGGTAAGAAATAAGCAAAATCGTTCAGGTTTAACAGCTTAGTTTTGTCAAATCCAGTACAGAATTGCATGCACCATTAATGATACTTCTAGATGCATTGCATTTCTAGATTTGAAGAACGTGTAGAAACTGACTTTACGCTCACATACAAAATATTACTCTGGAAGTCTTGAAGAAATAATCAATTCTGATCATATCGATCAGTCTCTCTCTCTATTTTTCTGTTTATCTTGACAAACAATCTCGAATGTGCTGAATTACCTCCTTTTTTATTTTTTAATAAAGTAAATACGTTCATTGTCCCCACTTCTGTTATTAAGTGTTCTCGTCCATGTAACCACAGTGCTTGTTGACAACCATGTTCCGCTGCAACTTTACCGACATAAATTGTTGGACCATAGTTTCTAGATAAAGATAATAAACGCATAGCTTTTACTTGTTTGTACAATCGGAATACGTACGATCCAGCTTTAAACTCTCCCACACCACCAGGAAACGCTCGAACATAGTTTGGATCGGCTAATAAGGATATTGGCTTGAAACCTGTTGGAAAATAGGGGCCCACAGGGCCGGTAAGCACGAACAACAAAGATTCTGTGGGCGCACCGACACCTAACGTTGGCTACAAAAATAAATCATAGTATTACTGATGTACAATCTATTCTAATAATACGTGACATTACTTCCGTTCCAATAAGACACGGTCGTATGTACAATGTACTTGATTTTGATCTTGGCACCCAATCAATATCGACTTTGATTAATTTTTTAATACATTCAAGCAATTCACTTCCATCGAATGTCTACGTTAGAATTGAGCT